CTGAATTTGGATATCCACCAGAGGTGCTCATCTTTATGGTCATCCTGACTCCATGAATGCCAAATGTAACAGTCCTTTTTTGGTAAGTGCTTCACATGGCTTATATGGCAGACAGATAATTAGTCTTTAAACTTTCTAATTTCATGGTTTTGTTGACACCAGTCTCTCCTGGTTTTCATTTCTAGTTGACCCTTCAGTCTACTATTCTTCTTCCTTGATCTAGTCTGTAAACATTGATATTCTCCAACATTATAATCTCATCCCTCTTCTCACATGATTCTCAAACATATCTGATTGGCAGTATATACGCTGCCTTTTAATTTCAACAGAATCTAATTTCATCAGATAAACCATCAGAAAATGACAACATATTTTAGAGCTCTACCGCACAAAAGCTATTAAACTACTATGCAGGATTAGATAAGCTAAATTAATAATCCTTTATGGGATTCCCCAGAGCTAGGCCTTTTAATAGATATATGACAAAAGGTATCACATATGCAAAGTGAATTTGTGAATAAAACTGAAATAAATATAGCTTCTGGTCTTAATTTTCTGGACACTACGAAGAGTCTCCCTTTACCTTTCACCTTGAGGTGACTTATCTGCTCCCTTGCTAGACAAGGGGAATCCTTTCCCTACCTTCTCCTCTGAGGGTGTCTAGAAGGAAAGAACACAGAAGACTCAGCTGGAACATGGTTTGGGGAGGGAAAAAAAGGACTAAGCAAAGTGTAAGTAGAAAGAAAGGGGAGGGGAGAAAAAGTATTGGACAATTTTAAAATACTAAAAAATATTCTCCTGTATCAAAATATTTCTGGTCTATGATAGATTTAATATCAAAATCTATACTATTAAACCTAAAAAGTTCACATATTTTCTGAATATGTATGTTAATAGAATAGACTGTTAAAAATTTTAAAAACATTTAAAATTTTTAAATTTAAATCAAAATAATATACTTTTAATGTGTGCCCCCTGCCACTGGCACATACAAAAGTAATGAGACTATCTGAAAATATGTGAGAATTTTGGAATATCTTCCAAGAAGAGGGTGAGATCACCCGTAAGAAGTAATGGCAAATTAATTCAATTAACAGCCCAGCAAGCTGGTATTTGTGTTAACATAGCTTCTGTACATCTGATAATGAGAAAAGGTCATTTCTCATTATCAGATGTACAGAAATACTGTACTTAATGGGGAAGGGGAGGGCAGGGAATCAAAATGTTTCATTAAAATGGCTTTTAAGGCCAAGGTATATAGATTTCAAATTCTGCAATAATAAAATATGGACAAAGCTACGGTAAATTAGGAAACACACTTTTCCACTCAAAAGAAATTCCATGATCAATGATTTCTTTTTGAAGTAAAATAATGGTTTTTTATTACTTCATTTGTAATCACATGTTGGACAAAGGGCTTTTTTTTTTAGTTCAACAAATACTTTAGACACCAGAAATTTTATGTTTGATTTTAGTTGTCAAAACTCTTTAAGACAAAACCAAAATTTTCATTATCAACTTTCAAATCAAGGGTATAAACAACAAAAGATCTCAATATAGAGAAAAAATAACATTAAATACATTTCTATTATCCTTTTCAGTCTAGTCGGCCAAATATATACATGCATACATATTTAATATATAATATGTATATTTTTAAGAATTATCCCCAACATCATCTTATATATAACATTAAGAATTCTTTTAGAGTCTACAAGTAAATGATTTTGTTTAGTATCAACATGAAGAGCAAATACAGTACAAGAAATTATGTTATTAATCTTACTGGTAGAACTCATTAAAAAAATATATTTGCCAGCCTGGCACAGTGGCTTGGGGTACTGAGGTAAGAGGCTCACAAGGTCAAAGCCAGCCTCAGCAATTTAGTGAGGCCCTGTCTCTAATAAAATATTTTTTAAAGGGGGTGGGGGATGCCAGTGGTTAAGCGCCCCTGGGTTCAGTCCCCAATACCAAAAAAAAAAAAAAAATTATGTATTTGCCAACACTCTTAGAATTACTTAAGTTACCTACAATAAGCAATATGATAAATCTTTTGGAGGGTAAGGTAGGGCGCTGAAGATTGAACCATGGGTCTTGGGCAGGCTATCACACAATTTAATGCCAAGCCATATCCACGGTTCAAATATGGTTTGAAGATAAATCACATTTTAATCTACGAATAAAAATATCTGGCTGGGCATGGTTGCACACATCTGTAATTCCAGCAACTTGGAGGCTAAGGCAGGAGGATCACAAGTTCATAGCCAGCCTGAGAAACTTACCAACCTCTAAGCAACTTAGTAAGACTGTCTCAAAATTTAAAAGGGGCCTAGGGATGTGGCTCTGTGGTTAAGCGGCCCTAGGTTCAACCCTGATACACATACACATATGTGTGCGTGTGTGTGTGTGTGTGTGTGTGCGCGCATTATATTCTTTATTTACGTGAAATATTATTTATTAAACTTATTCCTTTTATCTATATAATGGCATCAAATAAAAACTGTTCTAAAATACTTATCTGAACAAATGATTTGTTTAGTACTGGACAACAAATTTCTCTTCCCCACTGGTCACTAAACTGATACATAAAAGACAAATATAAGAAAATTCACTTCTATGTTTTCTCAACTAAATTATAAACTATTACATGAAATGTCTCATTTGATCGTCACAATAACTACATAAGATGGTAATAACTATTTTTCAACTCAATATCAGAAGGAAAAAAGAAACACAAAAAGTTCCACTCAGAGAAACTAAACAACTTATCTGAAATCAAACTTCCAAAATATGAACCAAAATATCTTCTAAATTCCAAATGCCCTTTTCTACCATCACTCTGTTCATACAAAACAATCTGGAGGAGAAAAAGTCCTCACACCTAATGCTGTTTGTTTGTTTTTATATAGCAAATGCCAACTCATAAACTTCATCTTTGGCTTAATAATTCTCCTGAAATATTGTTTCAGAATCATTAACATTTCTGAATTACAAAAAAAAAAAAAAAAGTCTACAATCATGGCTATAAGATCTAAAACTAATTCAATGACATTGCTTGGACATCTGTAGCCTCCAAGTTATAGCAAATCAAACATCCAACACAGTGCATACAATATTTACATCTGGCTTGCTGAAGTTACAATGATTTTTGGAATCTAAATTAAATGTAAAAATATACAAACTCTATATCAAATAAATTGATAGTGACTTTTGACTTTTAATGTTATTTTTGCTATTAATATCATAATTGTTACTCCTTTGATCTCTACATTTCAATATCCAGTGTCACCAAATAATCACACGAACACCTACATCTGATAACCAAAAATTTTGTGACTAGCTCAGTTAATTGAGATGTAAGAATCCATGCTAACCAAGGGGAAGCACACTAAGAACAGTAGATAAGATCACTGGGCTTTAAATATATGTGTGTGTGTGTGTGTGTGTGTATATATAAACACATATACATTTAACCATTTAGTATAATAAACATAAAAGCCAAAACCTTAACCATACAGAAAATCTAAGTCCTCTGTAAATTAAAGGAAAATGTTAAGATTGAAACTAAAAAAATCACAAAACACAATCACTAGTTAGGTCAAATAAATATATATATATAAATGAAAAAGTCCATTCTGTCAATGTATCTGTAAATATAATCACACTTGTACATACTCATACCTTTCTAAAAGCACTTTTATCCTTTTTTAGGTGTAATGTGGTGCATATAAACTAAGTTCTACATAAGTTTTCTTTTGTAAATACTAAAGATATTAAATGTACTAAAAAAAGGGAAATATTTCAAAGAAGTTCATGGTGATTATGGTGATTTAGCAAAGAAAACTACCAGTGTTCATTTATCCAATATAAAAAGAAGTTTTTATAAATGAGATTTGGTTAATGAAGAGATTCCACAATCACTTCGTTAAAGTTTTAAAATGGACAGATTCAGGCGAAAGTTACTAATTATATCCCCAGTAGGAACTAATAATGTTAAGACAGTAATGTTTCCTAAAAGGAAGTGAGTTGCTGAAATTCTCCAAACAGAAAAGAGCTCTAACCTGTAGCCAGCAGCTAGGCCCCTTGGGCAAGTCCACTGACAGCAGAAAAGAGATAGGTGCACCCTTCTCTTCAAAAATAATCATCATCCACCTAAGATTCCTACAAAGTCTCTGCTATGGTCAGAGGTAGGTAAGGTAAACAGCAAACTTTTGAGGGCTTTGTTTTCTGATTCTGGTTTGAATGATCTAAAATTCCATAGTTATTCAAGTACTAATTTAAGTCTATATATATCATAAATGCTGGCTAAATGTTTAGGATTGCTTAGAGGAGTAATTCATAGTCTAGTTCTTATAAGTGTCAAGGAGTATCAATCAATACTATACAATTTCCACTGTTTTAATTCATGTAATGATTTTTGTTTTGTTTTGTTTGTACTGGGGATTAAACCCAGGGACATTTTGTCACTGAGCTACATCCCCAGCCCTTTTTATTTTTTGATACAGATTCTCACTAAGTTGTTTAGGGTCTTGCTAAGCTGCTGAGGCTGGCCCTGAACTTGCAATCCTCGTGTGTCAGTCTCGTGAGTTGCTAGGAATACAGGCATGTGCTACCACAGCTAGCTCTCTTGACTATTTTTAAAGTTATGCCATACAACACTTTAAGGAAGAAAGATTGAGGAATGATAATGAAAATAACAAAAGAGAATGCCTAAATTACAGATCATGTAATAAATAAATGGTTTAGACAAGAGTATAATGACAATTACCTTTCTACTCCAATTTTTCATATCCAACAACAATAATATTGTCTCATCCAGGAATCTAAGTATATCTAAGCAATTATTAGAAAATAATATCTCATCCAGGAATCTAAGTATATCCAAACCATTATTAGAAAATAAATAAATAAGCTGATCTCCTCACCCAATTTGTCCCCAAAGACAGTTGTGGTCAAACAGAAGAAAGTGAAAAGCCAAGAGCACTCCCAAAAAGACTCACCTTTTGTTGACTGGCTTTTCATCCTTCTCATAGGGTCGAACAAACCACTTCCCAATCCTAACGAAGTTCTTGTCCATTAGGCACCTATAATAAATTCATCAATAATTACTTTTATAGATTCAATAACAAATTAGCAAATCAATGAATCCATAATCCCAGATTAAAAACACCAATAAAAATAAAACATCACCAATTAGACTGTCAAAGTATTATTGTTACTTAAAAGTTTTACATTACACTTACTGAAAGAACTCCCTGATTTTGCACATGGATTTTTATGCCCATGGGAGAAAATAAGCAATATAAACTGGCTGAAGTATTCCCAAAACTTCTTACACTTCAGAATTACTTCAAATTGAATCACACTTCTGCAATGAATTCAATTCTTGTATCATGAAGAATGTCAGAAATACAGCATTTCTTAAGATGCCTCAGAGATATTCATCAGAGCCATGGTCACTCATCTTGCAAGTTTTAATGCTGGGTTTTTGTTTTAGTTGTGGTGTGGTTTGATTTTCTGGTTTGGGGTTGGCTTCTGAAAGGTAATCCTTTAGGCAAGATGGGGGGGGGGGGACATAGCTTCATCTACTTAAGCATTTTCCTTAGAGGCATAGAAAAATACTTTAGTATTCATTTTACTCATATCTAAACTGCTCCCCACTTCTGTTTCCATGCCATGTTAGTTGTGTTTCAATGTCAAATTGTATTCTTTCTGAAACATTAAGTGGAAACTAAGCCCTAACCACAGAAATACCAATAATGCTTCAACAACAACACAGACAGTTATGACCAAGTTCACCCATGTGCAGGCAAATGAAAACTGTATCATAACTACCATCTGGCCAATTATGAGATGTCATTGATTGTAAAGAGCATCCCAAATTTAAAAAACTATAAAATTTTTTGAACTGATGAAATACAGTAGTCTCCTTAATACCATTCAATGAAATATATTTTGTAAGAAAAAGTGTCAAGATTGTTGCATATAATTCTTCTATATAAGGTTTGTCCTACCAGGTAAAGAGCTATATAGCAATTCTTTATTCAATATTCAGGCAATTCTGTACTTCACTTTTGTCTCTGTAATTTCCACAATATCAAGGACAAAAGAAAGAATTCAAGCCCTCACCCTACTCATTGCAAGTTAAATGGGTTAGTAAATGGCAATAGTTTCTACTGTTCACAATGTAAATCCCTTTGGGCAGAATGAATATGAAACACTGTTAAATCAAAATGTCACTGGCTTCAACTGGTTTTATTCCAAAAACTAATTTCTATAACAATTTTCTTATTCATAATGGAGAAATTCATTTTCAAAATAACCTAATCTGACTTCCTAAGTTAAGAAATTAAAGAAGCATACTTAAATTATATGACTTTATTAAATTTAGAATACAAAATACAGCACACATCCTCAGCTAAATAGATACCAACTTTCACCCAAGGTGAATATGATGTTTCACCCAAGGTGAAAGTACACAAGAAGCAAAACTGAAAACATGCCTCCACAGTTTATTCACTAGCCGAAAGACATATTAATTTTAGATAGGCTGTATATAAATAAATATTTCCAGTGAAAAATCCCAAGTTTGATATCAGGTTTCTTCCATCAATAATACTATCAATAATCGCTTGAAAGAATTGCTACTATCACAACTACACATGTTGATCACCAGGCACCGTGTCTCATTTAATTCTTGTAACAGTATAAGTGAAAAAGCTAAACACCTAACCAAGGTCACACATATTATCAATAGGAGAAATGCCATTAAGCCCAGGTATGTCTGATCACAGAAACATGAAATTTAACTATTACCATTTTCTTCATTATTTCCTCATTTCTTAAATCCAGATATGTCTTACCACTGAATTAATGTGAAAGTGTTTCTTTATTCTCCAAAAGCTGCTGCTAAATTGAAGGTAGACCTTAAAATCAATAATGCTTTTAATGAAAGCAACAGGCTATGTTACAGGTATGGAATCCCATCAAACACTAAATAGTCTTCTAGTGACACATCTTCACCTAGTAAATAACATCTTAAAAAAAATCACTCTCTCATAAATGCCTTGAAGGTCAAAATTCAAAAGAATTATTTAGTAAGTAACAAAGACAATGTGAAATTTACAGAGTATAGTTAGAAAATCCAAGGCTTTACAGAATATGAAAGAAAAAAAAACAAGATATCTGTGACTAAAGGACAATGTATAAAAGTGTATTTCAAAATCCTTGCCCTTCTGTGTAATAAAAGCCACAAATTCTATTCACTGACTTATTCTAGGAAAAAGCAGAGTCTGGAATGTGGGGGAGCAGCACACAGCCAAGACCATTCAAGGACAAAAGCAAATTGCAAAAGGCTAATGACTGCTATCTGAGAGTAACTCTGTGTGAATGTATCTCCTGGAGTTCCCACTACAGATCATATTTCTTTGTCAGGCAATGTCAACAAAAGGTTATTATCACTAATATACAGAATAGAATGGAAACTACCGATCCTTTAGTCTGAACCATCTGTTTCCAAAAGAAAAGAATAATGACTTATGTGATTTTTCAACTGCTAATCAGTTATCTATGTGATAAGTGGTTTCCAACACAGTGAAAGAAAAACATTGAGAACATAGAATTGCATTGAATAAAGGCGTGTTTTGACTCTATTTTGTATGTATTGGTGCAAGAAGGAGGATATTCAAATTTGGCCCCTCCCAGATTAGTCAATACTACCTGGAGAAGAGGAGGCTTGTCTTTGTTAAGGAGAGTTCTACCACCTGGCTGAGTGATGACAGTATGCTGACTCAATAGCAAGACTATACTGAGGTACTAAGTCCTCCTTTCTCAATCATTTTTGGGTCATAGATATGCAGTTAAAAAAAAAAAAAAAAACTATTGAGAGCTACTAAGAACTATGCATAGAAAAAACGCACAAAAGAGCAAAACGCTCAATTCACAGGGCAGGTAAAAACTCTATGAAGTAGATTCTAGAATAAGAATTTTTCCGTATTAAATACTACTACCGATGCCTACTTACTCTGCTTTGGCCTGAAATCTTTTATTGTGCCATTCTCTCTCTCCTCCTCTAATTTAAATTTCAACCATCTTTGCCCTGTCTCAAATCAAGCAGGCACATCCTCTTAACTCTACAAATCACCTTTGCACTACTCAGTCGTAACAATTAATTTCTATGGCTCATATTTAAATGCCTATGATATAATATACCTTATGTTCTACTCTACAGTGATGCTCAATAAATATTTGAGAAATGAAATTAGATTATTTTCCTATTCATAATATTGTTGTTCTTTTTGCTTATAACCACTAATATGGGTAGCCTCATAGTATCTGAATTTTCTTGTGTGTATGTATTCTCACACTCTATATTTTGAGGGAGGAAAATATCTACCTATTTTATTCTTTATAGCCTATCATTTCACACTGCAAACTAAAATCACAGAAGATACTTAAAATAGAGGGAATCACACAACAGCTAGAAATCATGTTGAGGAAAACTAGCACAAGTGCCCAAATGCCTTAATTACATTTGAAGAATACAGTTAAGCAAATCTCTTAAGGAGACAATTCTAAAGTCTAAAAATTACATCAGAAATATAATGTTCCCTTCTTTATACTCTATCAATCTTTATTTTCTTATATTTGAGGATCAAAATTTCTACTTTATTTCACAAACAAATTAACCTAGCAGACACACTCCATCTGCCACAAATTATTTCAAGTCAATATCACAAATAGTGCTAAGAATATATCGGTTAACCCAGCTTGTCCAGTTACCTCAGTCATCGTGATCCACATTTTTAAAACTGCTTTACTATTAAGATATGATTTAATTCTGTAAAGCTTCAGTATTCTTATAAGATCATTATGTGATGCCAGATTATAAAAAGTCCTTTAAGCACCTAATACTAAAAAGTTATTTTTATTCCCAATCTTAGCCACCTCCCCCCACCCCCACCCCCCAAAAAAATCACTGTTTCAAAAGGAAAAGAAACAGCTGCTGAAAAATGAAAATGAAATCAGGTTGCATGTGTGTGTCTGTGTGTGTACCTAATGTTTCTGTGTCATGCCATATGGCTCTGAATAATTAGCTACAAAGTGCAACCTGACTCCAAAATTGGCAAGCCACAATCTCCAATCCCAAAGCCACAGGCAGACTTGATGTAAGATTACAAGCACTATAGCATGCCCAAAGCCTAAGCCCCTCAGCAAGCCATTTCCCAGGTGGGACATTATGGAGGTATAGAAGGAAGGTCACTACCAGCTCTGGCTGCTTCTGTGCCACTCAAATTATGCACACATGTATATAATTAATTTCACTGATTAGAAAATCCAAGTACAGTGTTTCCCTATGATAACCTCAACCAAACTGCATCTTAATGTCATCATCGAATTACAGAGTTGCTCACATACAATAAATTTTACGTAACTGTATGCCAAAACACCCTCAGCAGCACTACTCCAATCTTATCAAAATTCCCTCTATTATCTCACCACTCAAATTTTTATCAAACATACATGCGGAGAAGTCGAAACAGCAATGTTCCCAAATTCTAACAGAATAAAATCTAACTCCTATGACCCAGGGGCAGAAGAAAGTTTTTCCAACTAAACCCTAGATCTTCATTACCCTGGGATTCCACTCTGCCCTAGTAGATACCAGCTGTTGCAGCCACACAGCCTCAATTGCTCCCCTCCTAACATCCCTGCAAGGGTAAGCTCTTTTACAGATCTAGCCTCACCTCAAATTCCCATTCTTATGCAGTCCCAAAGAGCTATATCTCTCTTATCTAGTTTCAAAATTTAAGTATCTAATCCCATTCTCCAACAACAAAACTTCATTATTTTTGAGTTTTAATCCATGCCCTGCTCTAAAAATATTAAGTATAATGATTGCTTACATTGAGATTTCTTTCTAGACATTTACAACTAGATCTGTGTTTCCAATCATGTGTATCTGTAATTTTTGTACTTTCTTCTTATTTTCCTTCTGCTGTTAAAAAAAAAAAAAAACTGCATATTATGCCATTTCAATAAAATGGCAATATACTGATTACTCATTTCTTGCATCTGTTATCAC